AGTGATTTGTTGGTCTCCACGATGGTGAGAGAAGTGTTGTACCATCCTCCATATATGACTGCTGACGTGGAGGGAGGATGGGCGCCTAGTTATAATCTGCACAATGATTATGTCAAAGGACGTCAGAGGAGAACATGCATAACGATTGTTGAGGTGGCGAATCCCCAAGTGTAAGTGGGAAGGAGAGAGACGACATCTACTCGTATTATCGTTTCTTATTGAGACACTCCTCCTCATCTTCTCTATTTTTTCTCTCCTCTTTCTTTCTCTCTCATACTCTTGTTTGATGCGACAATGCTTCTGAATCCATAAAATTGAGACATGGAGACGTAATTGACTTCGGAGACTTCATGCTGTGCGTTCGGTTCAGACTTGTGTTGCATTGCTGGCTGGCTTCTCAACTACATTGGCTTCTAATTTCTAAATCATTACAATATGTGACCAACATCTAAATGTCGCACCTTGTCCCCATATTAATAAATATTATATGAATCCCAATATTAGTTGAAGGCATTGAAAATACTTCGCTCCAAATTGACCGACTATGGAGAATCATTGTATCGAGATTTAAATATTTGAGAATAGTTCGGTTCAAAAAAATTGACTGCCTATGTCGTATGAGCTGGGTTGATCATGTATTTCAGCACAATGCTTCCGATTCCGTTCTGACAATTTCGGTTGGGCGGACGTCTATCTTTTTTTCCAAGTTTCTGACATTAACAGGTTTCAAGGGCATCAATGTTTGTGCCTGCTTCTCTTTGTGCTCTCTTTTTCGATCACAGAGAGAGAGAGATTATCAGCTATTATTGATTTTTTTTCTACGGACATCCACACTTGAACCTGGACTGTCTGTCTGACTGAGATGCATTTAACTGACGGATAAGGACTGAGTTAGCTATACCCCCCCCCTCCTTCCCTCCAACACACACACACTCACACACACACACACACACACACACACACATACACACACANAGAGAGAGAGAGAGAGAGAGAGAGAGAGAGAGAGAGAGAGAGAGAGAGAGAGAGAGAGAGAGAGAGAGGAGGGGGAGGGGGGGGGGGAACCGCGCTGTAAGTTGAGTTCCTACCCCAGTCATACCGCATTGCCAGATCTGTTCTGCTTAGACAGGACTGCCAGGATTGTTCTTTTCTCCAGCTAGCATAATTACACCCTTGTTATTTTTCGTCTTGTCGAATCCGCCTGAAGTCCTGAGAGTAAGAACTCCAAAGCCTCTCGGACCGCTACATTTGAGAGCCACATTCATCTTACGATCCCCCCGAAACATGTTCTGTTCATCCCAACACACTCTGATTCTCCACCTCCCCCTTCCCCCACCCACCCTGGCCTCTCCCTCTTTCCTCCCGTTCTCTTCGCCTTTTCGTTTCTCGTGCCTTCTGGTTCTCAGATGGGCCCAAGTCACGATCGGTTATCCTCAGCCCCCTGCAATTGGAACGGACCTGGAACAAGAAGCAAGTCAACTGGTACAAGAACTACCGCTATCCTCCCCTGAGTAGGACACGCGATCATCATGAATGTGTACAAGCTATTCTTCCAGTCAGATAGAGTCATTATGCGAGTGTGTTGTGTTCGGGAGAAGATGGTAGGTCACCCTGGGACAAGAACCAGGTCCAACCAAGAACCCAGTCCAAACAAGAACCAGGTCAAAATGGAATATGAACTAGATCCAACAAAAAAAACAGGTCCAACCAAGAACCAGGTCAAACCAAGGAACAGGTCCAACCAAGAACCAGGTCAAACCAAGGAACAGGTCCAACCAAGAACCAGGTCAAACGGGAACAACATCCAACCAGGTCCAACCAAGGAACCCAGGTCAAGATGGAACAAGAGCGAGGTCCAACCGCACTCCAGGTCAACTGGGACAAGAACGAAATCCAACCAAGAACCAAGTTGAGACCTGTAGGCAGGTCCAACCAAGAAGCAGGTCAAACCAAGAAACCCAGGTCAAACTGGTAGGAGAACCTTATTTTTTTTTATTTTTTTTTCATAATATGGCCAATGGTACGAGAACTTGGTCCCACTTGGTCCCACTGGAGCAAGAGCTTATGAGTGACGTATGGCTGGCAATGCCTGCCGTGAAATCTCTAAATACAACACGATTCTTTGAAATCCAAAAGCACTACGATGGCTTCTCCTACAATTAATTATTCCAATTAGTGGTGGGCGCAGATTTCTTTTTTTTTTTTATTTCTTTTTCTTTTCTTTTTTTAATGGTGGGCGCAGCTTGAAAAACGTCTATTGAAATAAAAAACTACTGGCTGCCACAGACTGACAGAAGATTCAGAACCTTCAGGGGGTAGCTTGTCTTTTCTGTTTTCTTAGTTTTGTTAGTGTTTTTTTCTTTTTTTACCACCAAACGCATTTTCCGGCAATCAAATCAATTATGGGGCTCGGCATTTGAACAAAATGTGTTTGTTTTTTTATTACCACCAGTTTTCTTAGTTTTGTTAGTGTCTTTTTTTTTTTTTACCACCATCGAATTTTCCAGCAATGAAATCAATTATGGGGCTCGGCCATTGAGCAAAATGTATTTTTTTTTTTTTACCACCAGTTTTCTTAGTTTTGTTAGTGTTTTTTTTCCCACCAGTGCACGCCTTTCGGGGCTCGGCCTTTGAGCAAAATGGCTGGCAGCGCCCGCCAAAAGCAGGCCCGTGCCAGTTCGTTTTCTTTTGGCGTGAAGGCCGTTTCCAGCCCTGGAGAGGATTGAGGTGGTGGACGCCACCTGACTATCCTCATCTACTGGGGCGGTTGAGCAAAAGGTCTGACTTTCGGATATCCACAGCAAAAAGGTTATCTCCCTGCTTACCGGTGTAGGTGAACGGCAGCTTCACCTGACTACCTTTTCTCTCTTCGAGTCTTCATTGAATTTTCTGCCACTGTGGAAAGTAGGGCTTTCATGGCAGCCTTCATCAGTTCTTTTCCCTTCGGTTATTCCTTCTCATCTTCGTCATCTTCTTCCTCGGTCATTTTGTTCTTCCTCTTGACTAGATTGGTCATTGAGGAGAGCTCAGCACTTGGCTGTTTCTTTTCCGCTATGACACGATCCAGCTTGGTTTCCGTTAAACCACCCGTACTTCCTAAAGTCGTGCCCGTTAATGCTACGCGACTTTAGGAAACGTACGGGCCACCACAGGAGTGCCCACATTCATCCAACTAGAAACGTTTCTACTCTATTTTTTGTCCGCGGCCGATAGCTGGGCCAAGTACTGGTGGTTTAAGGTTAGATACAACATCAAATGTTCAAACATGGATGCCACGTCAGTGTCTGATTCCAAGTTAACTTTTCCGTCGATCTCTTTCACCATTCAACCTTGCTATTCCCTTTACGCTTTCTCCTTCCGATAGGCTTCCCTCTTCTTTTTCTCAGCTTCCAATGTTTCTTCCAACTGCGCAATGTTGTCACATCCATTATCTGGACGTTCAGTTTTTTCCCATCTTTCTTAGACTTGGACGCTGCTTCTTCCCTCTCCTTCCATTCTTTTTCCCTCCTCCTTTCTTCTCCCGCTTTCGTCGGTTTTTGGAATTGCTCATCCACAAACCGATCGAGGCTGAGACAGGCATTACCAAAGATCGGTCAAAGTTCCGATCGACGGCACGTAGATTTTCCGATCAAGGCCGAGACAGGCCGTACCAAAGATCGGTAGTCAACGCGCCGACCGCTGTCACAGCAGCCTCGTCCACATTTTCAGCGACGGGGCACGTAGATTAAAGTGGTTGTGCACATGAGCCTTGGCTTCGGCCGCAGCTAAGCGTATTTCGTCGATATCAGCAAGCGCAGTTACTCTCGTTTCGGGCACTTATCTGCCCCTTCGTATTCACATATTCTTCTTCCGTTTTTTTTTAATCCGCAAAAAATGTGAAGGAAACAGGAAAGAAAAATAGAGGAAAGAATATGGTCAGACTGGATGCATCCAGACGTTCCCAGAGGTAAGCCATGTTCGCAGACACGAGTATGCCGCACAGTATAACCGTAACATTCCAAAGTCAATTCCACGGCCTCGGCCACAAACAACTTTCCAAAATCGCGGCAAAAAATAAAGAAATAAAAATAAAGAAAGAATCAGAAATTCTTAATAACGATTTTGAATTTTCTATTTTCTACTTCTAATTCCTGCGAATAATGCCTTACGATTTTTCTGAATTGAAAGACTATGCAGGGAGGAGGTCCTATGCCACGGCCAGTGCGATCAAAAGACATACAACAAGGTCAATCCGCTCAATCAAGACGAAACAACAGCCACGCAGGTAATCATAACTATTGTATGCTTACCTGGTGGGCTGTTCGGCAGCAACACACAAGAGTGCAATATGCCACGTTAGCAGCAACAATCACAAGACATCCAATCGAAGTTAGTTGCTTCTCCCCTCATCCTTGTTCCTTGACAAATGGCTGACCAGGCATGCAATCAGGCGAGTGGCACTACAGCAATGTCTGCTTGCTGTACCGCCAGCCTGATCCCACGCACGCAAGGCCTTCTCTCCACTGGCCCGACATCCAGTTGCCACGTCAGTCGTGTTTCGTTCCAACAATGTGCCCAATCGGCAACGATGCTGTCTCCAATGCCTGGCTGTCGCATCAACCTTGGCCTCTCTTCAGTGGCTCTCGGGCATGTCAGCATGAGGAGTCGACCTCGCGAGAAATGGCGTCTGCCATGTAAACAGCAAAGGTTGCTCGCGAGGTCGACTCCTCATGCTGACGTGCCCGAAGCACTCCACGTCAACTCCCACTTGGGGTCTTGCCAGTGTCTCTCAGGTGCCAAGTCAACAGCATAGTGTGCCACGTGGCACTTCGATGTATACCGCCACTTGTGGAGTATCATTTCAACAGAGGTCTTCAAGATGCCGCTCTTCTCCTTCCACGGCAGATTTCTACATCATCATCATCATCATCATCATCATCATTATCTCACTCGTTGGCATCATCAGCGGGCGGCAAGGTAAGTGGATATCGCTCTGATACCAAACTGTAATGAACCCAATCTCATGAGAAGCCACGCAGTGTCGTGATACAATACAAGTGTGAACCCAGCGGTGGCAATAATGTCTCCAAAATAGATTTATGAACCATCCTCAGCGTATGTGCACTTTCCAAGAGCATCCTAACTTCAAAGAAGAGAATGATGTAGTGGGGAGAAGAGACAAAGAGGAGGAGAAGGAGGAGAGTCCCAGCAATAATCAATAATGCATGCATGAAGCGGCTTCATGCATTATTGATTATTGCTGGGACTCTTCTCCTCCTCCTCCTCTTCGTCTCTTCTCCCCACTACATTCATTGAAGCCCCTTCCTCTGGCGGCCATCCTCTGACGTTCTCTAACAGTTTCGGTGTGCAGGTCACAGCAGGGCGGCCATCCTCCGTCCACTCCGCATCCAATCAGGGAGGATGGCAGATCTTCCTCATCTTCGTGGAGACGAGCAGCAGATCGCACACGACGTCGCCAGGTAAGTTCCGGTAAGCTTCCCCTCAAACCCTCTCCAGTCTCACAGTATGGATCCTCCTCCTCTTCCTCGCCCAACCTCAACATAGCTATGGCGGCAATGGACGTTCCAACATAATCTCCCCTGATGCTGGTGCCCTCGCCAGCATAAACTCCAGCAACCTCGCGATACTGTATTAGCATCAACCAAGTGCAAAGCAGAATGCCTTAATCAGTTTCTGGCCATTCTTTTGTGGCCTTGACCAGTATGGACTGGCGCCGACCAGTCTTCCCTTTGCCGGTGTCGATGCTTCAGATCTGCTCACTTTCAACGGCCTGGATGCATGTTACATACTCCAATGAGTATGGGCAGAACCAAGGATCAACCAATGTAGGATGAGCATATATGCAACGGAAGTCTGATGAACGGACTGACTCACATAGACTGACTCACATAGCATCACTCCACACACATACAATCGTGA